GGCTGCGCACGGCGGTGCGGGAAGGAGAGGCCGGGAGGGGCGGAGAGTCGCTTCCCGCCGCGGACGGAGGAGTGCGCGCGGCGGCGGCAGCGGCGACAGCGACAGCAGCAGGAGCAGAAAGCAGCAGCGGCAGCCACGGGAGCGCCTGCCCAGGACTGGAGCCAGCGAGCAGCCAGGCATCGTCCCCGGGGCCCTCCCCGCCTTCTCCATCCTCCAGGGTCGCCACCGCAGGGGGGGTCCGTCAGATCGGTGGAGCTCCGGTAGAGGCTGCGTTTAAAGGGAAAGGGGAAGAGGCGGCCTGCGGGGCCATGGCTGGAAACCTTGAGCCAGTGGAGCAACCTGGCTGTTCCTCGGTGTTTGCTAAAGTGCACGAGTCTCTCACACACAGCCTTCAACGACCGGGTCGGCGGGGTCTCCCAGCACGACTCCTAGGACTTCCATCATCCCAAGCGCATACCAATTGGCCATGCTGGCTGGGGACGATGAGGCTTGAAATCAGGTCATTCGGAGAACAATAAATTGGAGAAGCCGAGTTTAAAGGGAATTTTCTCCTTTTCCTTTCCTTTCCTTTCCTTTCCTTTCCTTTCCTTTCCTTTCCTTTCCTTTCCTTTTTTTTTTGAGGGAAGACACAGTGTACAATACAGTAGATTGATTGTACAATAAATGTGACATTGGGGGAGTTATAAAAGGGACAGAAGCAAATGGGTATGCTAACAATTGTACTGCTATGACTTAGGCCATCCACTTGATGGATAATGCAACAATTTTTTGCTCTAACAGTACTACACTATTTTAGTACTTCTTTCTCACCCACTGAGAAATAAGACATTGTGTCAAAGATGTGTGTAAGCAATTTCCAATTTTTTGGGAGAAAGTGTCACCCACAGATGAGTTTGAGAAAATGTCACCCACAAATCCATGGAGAATCTTTACCTCAAGAAATGCATTTCCTAACACTGCTGTTGGGATTCATTGTTTATTTACTCGGAATCAGAAATAATCCTGTTGTGTTCTAGAATGAATTCCATTGTGTTCCATTAGCTTTATTCCCAGTTAATTGATACAGGATTGCAGCCACATTTATCTTTTTTTTTTTTTCTGCAACTACTCTCCTTAAAAGTTTAGGTAATATATATTTTATCCCCACAGTATTCCTGAGAGGTAGGATCAGTGAGTCTTACTCTCAAGTTAATATACTTTGGAGTGTATTTAGTTTAGTTGTTCTAATATTTATTTATTTATTTATTTATTTATTATTAAATTTGCTGATTTTCTAATTCTAGAATTAGAATTCTAACACAAATTTATTTGGGGTTAATAATTTTTGGACTTACTTGAAAAGTAAAATGCCATTTATGTGTGTTTTAGAGAACAGGACGCTAACATCTGATTTTCTAAGAGGTAGTGTAATAATTGAGTTTAACTGCTTAAGGAGATTCTGTCTTTCACTGTTCACTATTTTATACTATTCAGCTATATACAGCACACATACATGCACAGAGGAACATGGTAAATCGTTTTGGAAATGTTGAACCACTGCTTATGTTTGTAGAGTTAGGACCTTCCATATTAGGAACCTAAGCTGTTACACTACACAACAAGTAATACCCTCTCCTGTGACTTCATTCTATGAGACACTCAAGTAGACTTAACAAGTCCCAAAGGAGTGAAACAATAATATCTCTGTATCTGTTGCTTACTGTAAGCAAATGATGGATTACAAAGCAGGCTGTTTATTATTAATGATTAATGTATTAGAAAAGATTATGCAGACACATATCTTTTATAAATGGACTACTCAGTAGGAATATGTACATACAAGCTTGTTTATTTTCCTGGCTGGAGTTAGCCAGTATTTTTTAATTATTTTAATCAAGGTCACTGAATAAAACATAAATAATCACCTTAGAGTTGGGCAGAGGTTAGTCTTGTCATCAAATCTTACAACAGGGACTCTTCATTTTTGGTTATGTCAGTGTGGAATATTTTTCCATAAGTGCTACCAGAGATGACAGATACGTGAAGTAATATGATCAGACCACCTTCTGATGAGGGTAGGCAAGTGAATGAGGAGGTTTGTTTGTTGTGAGTTGCCCAGACTCATTGAGAGTCGGGCGGCATACGAGTTTAATAAATTACGTATTTATTATTATTATATCTGACATTATAGCAAACAACTACAGAGGTCTGCTGCATTGTTGCCATTAGCAGACTCTTCTTTGTTCAGATACAGAAATATTTAGGCAAAAGGGATGGAGAGGCAAGACATAAGCTATAGTTACATACCCACAAATGCTTGGTTAATTTAACTGCACTGAGTGTTATTTTTGTTATTTTGAGACACAGCTTATTTCAAATATGTATATAACTAGCATCTCTTGTTGTATCATTTCCCAGAGTCAAATAATACTGGTTTGGTTACTAGAAAAGAATGTCCAATCTCCCCTTTTCTCATGGATAGAAACCAAATATTCAGAAATTAGTAGATGAAGCATTTTAGAGAATATAGATAACCACAATCATTTGGTGATGTCTGCTAACAAGTAACTCTTAAATAGGACTACCATATCTGGGGTGCAGAAACCCAATCACCTACTAGATGGCTATAACTTCTTAACTCTTTGATGTCATGTAGTAGTCCTCTAGAGTTTTGCCGCCCATATACATACTGTTAATAGGAACAGAACATAAGGCAATAAAAGAATTGTGGCTGTACTAATTTACAGCTTGGGTTTTAAAACCAGGTGTTTAATAGGATCCTGAGAGCTCAGTTTTAAAAAAAAATTGTACAGTTATGGCCAGGTGCAATGGAAGACACTGCTTTTTTACGTTTTATCACTAATAGAAACAATGAAATGTAAATGGGTATATTACTTCCAGGGTAAGAAAAGCTATATCTTTTCTTTTCTAAATGCCCTCTTCTGGGCATAAATACCTACAACTTATCTATTGGTACCTTCCCAATATTACTTCAGTTCCCAGAACACCAGCCGGCTGGTAAGGAGCACGCACTTTTTAAAAGTTGAAAGGGATATAAAATTAAGAATAAATAAGATCAACAAAGAGACTCAGAGAGTCTTCACGACTTCCAAAATTTCATAATTTATCATTTACTCAAAATTACATACCGTAGTATTTGTGTTAATTCTCAAGATACTGCAAAATTTTTGTGCCTGGTTAATACAGGTTCCTCTCTGGCACTTCAAGGACAGGTTAGCTTTCTAGCCTAGGTCAGTGTGGTCCAAACTTGGCCACTTTAAGATGAGTGGACTTCAACTCCCAGAATTCCCCAGCCAGCAGTTGAAGTCCACTCATCTTAAAGTGGCCAAGTTTGGACAACACTGGTGTAGGTAATCAAGGGGTGAGGTTTTTTAAGACTGATTTCTTACAAATGGAAAATAAATTATAGTTCTTATTGGGCCTTTGTGTGTGCTTCCATAATGCTGACTTACAGTATCACTCAGACGTTGCCATGATGGTATGAAACCTGTCTGCATTAGCAATTTATCACCACAGCAATGCCTGGGTGATGTTGTCAATTGCTAGTTTCCTCTGTGTAATCATTTGGACCATTTCTTAAGTTGCTTTACATTTCTTAGAATGAACCTTATGCATCAGTAGAATATTATGTTCCAGTAGAGGGAACATAGAGATATAGGTCTTTATATCTTGTGTGTTACAAAGCATAATTTAAGTTTGCTTTTCTTTCTGAATCTATACAGGGACATAAAAAGCAGCAAGCCAAAGTATTTTTATTTTGAAGCACGGCAAGCTGCTTTATTTTTAGAACACTCTTATTGAGGAAAGAATTTCAGGCTGTTCTTATCTCTGCTAATAATAGTGACTTGCTCAATTTATACAGCTACCACATTACCACACCACCCTCTTCTTTAGTCAGGCTACCTCTTAACTGCAGATTTTCTAGTTCCTAGTTCACCTGGTTTTAAAATGTAATGATTTTTTAAGCTGGGATGCTAAACTCTGTATGTAACTTATTTATTCACTTCCTCCTTTTAGAATACCATAAGGATTCTGTAACTTCTGACATCAGTATTACCTTAGTGTTTTTTTTTAACGTGATACTAGAAGGCAACTTATGCTTTGGAATCTATATGCATATTTGAATGCATGTGTCTCCAAGTGTGTACTTTTTATCAGTTTATGGAATACAGCCATGGGCAAAGTCTATTGGGAATCTCTGTCTTGGCTTAGATTTTTAAAATTATTATTATTATTAACTCTTAAATTTTGGCCTGACTTTTTTTCCCCTAGAACAGTTATTCCCAAAATACTGGTTTGGAAGCTAATAAGCTGCATATTATGTGGAAGTTCTAGTGGAGACTGGGTAGTATTATTATTAGCCTGAAAACATAAGAAATACATAAATAATTTCTAAAAGGAAGATAGGCAAGCAGTAATGCTGCTAAAGAAAAAAAGAAATAATGCATGATAAACTTTAAATCAACTGCTTAATAATAGTATAATGATGCAATAATATATCTCCTGAAAAGGATGAGACTCTCAGGTAAATTGACTAGGATTGCAGCCTATTATATTATAATTTGTATTTATTCGTTAGATTTATATTCCACCATTCTTCCAGGAGCTCAAGAGAGAACACATAGCATTCCTGATAGCAAAACTATGTGAGGAAAATTGGGCTGAGAGTGACTCACTCAAGTCACCCAGTGAGTTTCTATGATGAGGTTTACTTGAACCTGTACCTCTCTGGTCCTGAGCGCTAATCCATCACTGGCTTTCTGATCCTACCGAACAGCCTTTGAAATGAATATTGATGTTGAATTATTATGAAGTAGTTTGGATTTAGTTCAGTTTGAATTATTTTCTGTATCTTTTATTTTTCCCCACAAAATTGCCCTAAAACTAAATATTTTGGATTTATCTTTAGAATAAAGATTATTCTTTTCTAAATGTAAACTAAAAACCTACTAGCCAGTTATATAAGATTGCAATCTAATCTATCTACTCTTACTTGGAAGTGAGTTCCATGCATTCAAATAGGAATTACTTCTAAATAAACATGCTGTAAGAATTTTGATTTTTTCTTTCTTAATTATGTATGTTAAAAGCTAATTGAAACATGCCATCATTTTAGTTCATAATTTATAAAATGCATAATGTAAGAAAGTGTTGCAATAAATGGCAAATGGGTGATAGAAAGCTTTTAATAGAACATAATTAAATAATTGAAATAAAATAAGTAAAGTTGTAAATAATTTTATGGAGCTCATGGCTTGCCGAAAGACAGGCGGATGGAAAGTTATTCATCATTGTGCAAAAAACTTCTGATATTTTTGAACTACAGATAGTCCTTACTTCACGACTACAATAGGGACTGGAAAATTTGTTGTTCAGCGGTGCGGTCATTAAGTGAGGCATCACATGACCACACCCGATTATATGACATTTTTTGTGGTGGTCATTAAGTGAATCACATGATTGTTAAGCGAATCACATGGTTCCCCATTGATTTTGCTTGCTGGAAGCTGGCTGGGAAGGTTGCAAATGGCAATCACCTGACTCCAGAATGCTGCAACCTTCCTAAGTGTGAGCTGGTTGCCAAGCGCCTGGATTGTGATCACATGATCATGGGGGCACGGTGACAGTTGTAACTGTGAGGACTGGTCATAGCTGTTTTCAGTGCTGTTATAACTTCAAATAGTCGCTAAAGAAATGGTTGTTAAGTGAGGACTACCTGTACAACTCCCATCAGGTTGAGGTCACATGACCAATTGGTCAGAGATAGTGGGAATTGTAATACAAAATACCATTGAAGAAGTTGGGCAGAGCAAGGCTGCCCTAATTAATGCAAATAATTAGTTGACAATAGCACACACAAAACAAGAAATAATGAAAGCTTTCTCCTCTCGTTAGTGATCTTGAGGATGGTGATAATCAGATTGCTGCAGGGTAGTGTCCTTCTCTCCTTTTTTTTTTTTTTTAAATTAGAGTCAAAGCAGTAAGTATTAAAGTAGTTTTAGAAATCATCATGTGGCAAATCTTGTTGGGCACTCAGCCTTAGCTCTTAACAATGTCACGTCACCAGTGAGATAGCCTTTGTCTCATTTACATAGAGAGGAAAACTGGTACCCATTTTCATTCGGTGCATGGTTGTCATTGCTAGTAAGTGAACTGAAGAATTTGCTCCTTTTGGTAGTATCTGTAAAAAAATCATGAGTTAGTATTACTCTTCAAAACCTATGAATTCTATGCTGCACTTGATATAAGACAAAGCATTTCAACTCAGATTTAATTTATATTATTTTTTTCCTTATTACTCTTATCATTGTTATAACAAGTACTATTAGACAAATTCATTCATCACCTATATCTTGCACTGTTAGTTTTTGAATAATGTAACTTCCAGAAAGATAAATACATTTGGAATAAACGGTAATTTTATATGTATGTTACAATGCAATTCCATATATGCCAACTCAAGAATAAGTCTCATTAATTCCAATTGGCTTTGGAGTTTTAGAGGTAGGATTTCACAGCCTTGCACAAATTGGAGTCTTTAAAATATTTACATGAAAGTTACTCATACAAAACCCAGGGGAACTTATTTCTGAGTAAAGATTGTACTGTTAATACATAAGTAATGCAAATCACATTTCAGTAACCTCATCATTTTATCCAAGCAGTGATTAACATTCAACTTTTCTCTTTTATTTAGTTGGAGAACACCAGCTTACTGGACATAAAGTAGCAGTCAAAATTTTAAACAGGCAAAAAATTCGTAGTCTGGATGTTGTTGGAAAGATCAAACGAGAAATCCAAAACTTAAAACTTTTCAGACATCCCCATATTATCAAATTGTAAGTGTTGCTAACTCCTATTCTCTTTGTAGTATGCCATATAAAAACATGTGAAATATGTATTTCTGTATTGCAGGTATTTTACTGTGTTTCTAATATGTTCAATAATGTAAATTTTATTTCTAAGCACTTGAGTTTAGAAGTAAGTTTTATTGATCTCATATTGAATTTACTCCCATGTATGTAGAATACTTGGGTGGACATTCTTCCTTTTGAAACTTAGTAAGCAAGATCTATATTGGGATTCAGTTAGTTTATTACTACCAGATTAGTTGTTATACAGGGTTCTTTCAGACTGTTTCAAGCTAGATTATACTTCTTGTTCTCTGACAGACAGAAGAAAACCTTGACTATCAGTTTGATGCAGTATCTTATATTTTTCTGGGATAATTGGTGCATGATTGGACAGTTGCTTGAAAAAAGCAAATGAGCATGTATCTTAGATGTTCATCTGAGATTCATGAAGCTAAAAATAGATCTTTCAGCCTAGATGGACTAATTAGATTATATATTTGTGTATTAAAATTTCAAGGGCACAACTGAAATTTCTTCAGATTTCATTGAACAGTATAGTACATGAAAAGGGAGTACTCAGTTACATCCAGTACAGAAGCTGTGTACTTCTGAAAGCAAATGCTTTAAAGAAGAAAAAACAAGTCTTTTTTTCTCCTAGAGCGTGGTTGAGATCTTCCTAGGAAAGATTGGTTGGCCACTCTGGACATTGATTTGATTGACCGAGTTATCTTAAATACACGTGTTCACATATCTTATGTTCTTATAATGGGGAATATATATAACAGATTTATATTATGGATCCAGACAGATTGTAAATAGGAATCATTATTATTGCACAATATTTTGGGAATGAATGAGAAATTAACAGACTTATTAAAACTTCATCAGTCTTGTGTGGTGAAGCGAGATAGCAGCTGGATTAATCCTTATTCCTGGAACTTCTCTTCCAATCTTATGATCATCTGTGTAGTATATTTCTTTTTCTTGCATCTAGTTTTTACATTTTTGATTTTGATTGTTTATATGTATTTTTATTTTTTTAAAATGGGTGTTATTTTTATTTTATGAAAAGATAGTTAGCTGCCTAGAGCCTTTGGGGTTAGGCAGAATATAAATTAAATAAATAAATAAATAAAGCAAATTGTTATGATGTTGGTGTCCTTTTAAACAAGAACCCTTTCTCCTATGTAATCATTAGATTTGTACTAACATATTTTGACTTTTGTATCTGAAATTTCCTGATTTCCTCTTGGCAACAACATTCAAAATATTATTTCTAAGAAGATTTATTGAACAAAAATCCTAGAGGAGTGAAGAAGCTTCCTGTAGGGGGTGGAGTGGGGGGTGAAAATCTATCAAATAGTTTAATTCAGCAGAATCATGAAGGAGTTTATATTTGTATTGTGAAAAAGTGACCAATTTATCTTTCAGAAGTGAAAAGCAATTATATGGAAAGCAAATTCCAATATATATTTTTGTCAAGGACTGTATTAGATTAGATGAAAGAACTTCTTCTAGCAAAAACATTTAAGTTGTAATTATTTTCCTGTATGTTTTCAATAGGTATCAGGTGATCAGCACCCCCACTGATTTTTTCATGGTGATGGAATATGTGTCTGGTGGAGAATTGTTTGATTATATCTGTAAACATGGACATGTAAGTGTCTTATCCAGTTGGAATAAATATGTATGTGGGGAAAGGGCAAAGAGACAGTACTAAGAAATAGAATTGCTTTGCTAAGTAAGATTCTTTTAAGTTATTAATATAAAAAATAGGCCAAGCCTACTAGCCATATGTGATATGGCTTGCTATTGCCTCAAATCACTGTTGTATATTTCTTCCGGATAGGCATTGGCTACAATACTTTTCCCCATCTGGTAACCACCAGATGCATTAGATTAACAACTCCAAGGGACCATGTTCACTTGGATGATGGGATTAAAGTCCAACACATCAAATAAATCCAGATTGAGGAGGGTTGGTATACAGTCTTAAATTCAGCAATTCTACCAATCATCATACCTCAAACTGAATATATCTGTAAATGATCTGTAATGAATATAAGTGATAAGCAGAAGTAACTTCCATCACCCTGTTTTCTTTTAAGTCTTCTATAGCCACATAATTTACTTTGCATCATACCACTGATTTCTGTTAAAGATCCACAGTAAAAGTGATTTGGAGATAATGGTTCATCTGAGTATGTACAGACATGCAAACATAGATATAGCTGTCATTTCACACAATCCTAAAGTTCATTTGGTGCTGTAGTAAGATTTATTGGTATGTTTAGTTAGTGATATAATTGCTAGCAAATGAGCCATATTAATATGAATAAGAGTTCAGGCTGAGAGCAACACAAATGCTTGCTTCAGCAAAAACATGTTTTATATATAAGTAGTACAATTCATGAGTACTTTATTTTTATTGCTTGAAGTTTTTCTATTTTTTCCAAAATAGAGTTATTGATGAATGTTATATGAGAATCTAACTCATTTGCAAAGCAATAGCAATAACAGATTTAATTTTTATTGCTCCATTTCATTGGCTGGATTATTTCATCTCTCTCTCTCTCTCTCTCTCTCTCTTTCTCTCTCTCTCCTTTAATCTTTGTAAGTGATTAGGAGAGCGAAATGCTTCCTCGTGCATATTATATAAATCTAGTATAGGATTAGAATTCTTCTACCATAATTTTGTTATATAATTAATGTTATATAGTTAATTATAAAATGTAAAGTATGCAGTTATTTTGATTATTCTATCATTATAATCAACTGATAAGGCTCATTAATTAATGAACTAAATTTCACTTTAGTTTTGAACTAAACCAGAGCATTTTCTATAAACAGATGAAGCCAAATGAGGCTGTCCTGTTATAATTAATGGCATCTTGTAATTTGAAGTTGCGGTAGCACACTTAAATGCCTCTTGTGTGAAAGTAAACTTCTCCTTGCAGATACATCATTTAGAAAGACTTGAGTGAGATTGCCCCTTGCTGACCGTTTTTCCCCCCAGGGAATTGCTTCTGGGTTTTATGCATAGTAACATTTTTAAAAATGTGATCTCACACACCTGTAGACTGAAGTGCTATAGTCTTTTCTACCAGCATAGTCTCTTTATTTCACTCTTCATCTACCCTGTGCTACTTCAGAATACTGCGGTATGTAATATTGTTATTATTTCCACATATAAAATGTATGCACAGCTAATTTTCAAAGTGTTAAATTTACATTAGTTTTTCTAACATAAAATGTTACAGGAATCAAGCTGCATGAACAACAGACTTGTTCTGGTCCGTTCTGTATATGTAAGCAATGATGCAAAATGGACAGAGCTGAATCACACATGTGGTTTCTCCCTTTTTTTTTAAAGGGATAGATTTTATGTTATTTTGTTTTTTGTTTTTAACTGTATTAGGCCAGAGATAGGGCTTACACTACAATTTTTTTTCTGTATTTTGAAATCAGCAATTGCCACAGCTGCAATGCAAGAGTTGGTGGCTTTAAAATTAAGCCCAGTTTCTTATGATGTCTGAGCCCAGGGAACTGTAATTTGTTTTAATAGCAGCTACTTAAGACAAAGCAGGATAAAGCCATAGTTAGAATAAGACTCAGTAACTTGGGATTAGATTTTATAAAGAATTATAGTTGGTTCTCTAGCAAAAGCAGAAATTTTCAGTATACTCTGTGTACAGAAAAGAACGGGAGTGTCAGCATAAGACATCAGGAAATTTGTTTTCAGACACCAAGGTCTGTTTTCAGAAATAACATGTTCCTACTCTGTCCTATATACAATTATTCTTGAAGGGAGATTTCAGAAAATGTGGGTTGCCACTGAAGGTGGGGCAGCTGTTTTAGGCAATCCTTCACCTGTCATTACTGCTGCTTGTATATGTGCCTGGGAATGATTGGGCATGAAAGCAAGTGGTAGCAGCTGCTGATCCTCATCCTTGCTGCCATCACTACTTCTTCTCATCCTGCTGTGTCAGGGGATGAAGGAGCCCATAGATAGCAGCAACAATATCAGCAAGGCAAATGCCTATTTATGCTGACCAGTGACATCAGCCCTGATCTTAAACATGTAAGATGTAAAAGCACTGCCCTGCATTTGCTGACTCTGGCTTAAATTAGAGGTGGGAGGAGCAGACTGAAGGTTAATAAGAAATAGGCACAAACATGTTCAAGATAATTTCTGAACTTGTCTAGATCTTTGGAAAGCTCTTGAAGGGGATTATACAGTAATACATTGATTCTTTGAGCATTGCAGTTTTAAAACCTCCATCTTGTTTGTCCCCAGATGTGTCGCATTGTATCTTCCATCCCAGTTCATTTGAGCTAGTAGGCATGCGGTTTGGGAATGACTGGAATTGTCAGTTAATCAATCAATTTTATTACAGCCTCAGACCAGCATCAAAGGTGCATTATGTTGCTTTAGATTATAACAAAATAAAAGATATTCAAGCTACATAAAATTATATAAAAACAGTATAAAATGCAGTAGCATGCAAAAATAAAAGGGAAGGCCACTGGTTTCTATCTTCTGTGTGGCAATACCATTTGCTACTTACTACATGATTTGGGGGACTTTGTCTGCAAGTAAACAGTTTAAATAAAAGTTGTACAGAACACCCAAAAAATTGATATTAAGGCAGCTATCAGGATGTTATGGATATTCTTATAGAAGAGGCCAGCATTTCTATCTCCTCTTCTCCATTGGGCAAAGGCTTTTACTGAGTATTCTTATATGTACAGTATCACCAAGAATTGCTGTAGGAAAGATGTCAAAGCATGGTAAACACTCTGCAATACTTTGAGAAAGAAATCTGCTTCTTTGTCTTATTGTGTTGTTTGCGGATTGTGTAACCAGATCCTGGCTATTGCACTTGGAGAAGTGCTACCTTGATCCTCCTGCTTATCCTCATGAGTAAGCCTCTTGCTTGATCATAATCCATTCCCACCAGCAACTGGAGAATTTTTCGCTGTTCCTTCAGTTTCCAGGTTGTATAGAAAAGATCTACCCCTGTTAAAGTGGCCAGACTTTGTGATGAAAAATTCAACTTTAATCCAAAGTTAAGTATCTCCTCTAGGCCCGCCTCTAAGTGAAGTGGCCTGGTGTTTATAGAATACATCCAGAGTGAACCAGGTGAGGAGAGGCTTAATTGTTTGACAGCCTTAATTTTCAGAAACAGCACAAGAACATAACTTCTTGAATTGTTACTTTTCTATTTAGTGCTGTTAACCGTCATTCTAACTTTCTCTTGTGGCTCACCCAAGAGATGATTGCTGCCTTGTTGAGTGGCCTACAGAAAAACCTAAAACATTTCTTCACTTTTGTTGTTGTTGTTGTTGTTGTTGTCATTGCAGGTAGAAGAGGCTGAAGCCAGGCGTCTCTTTCAGCAAATTCTGTCAGCTGTAGATTACTGCCATAGGCATATGGTGGTTCACAGAGATCTGAAACCAGAGAATGTGCTGCTGGATGCACACATGAATGCCAAGATAGCTGATTTTGGTATGTGACCCCAATAGCATTCCAAAAATGTAATTGGCTATGAGCCATTCCCTGGACTGTGTCACTGTTAACATCCTTCTGGGAACTCAGTGTTATTTTCCATCGCCATTAAAAACTTCTGTGCTACTGTGAACAGTTCTCTTTAATTAAAAACATTGGTTTAATCCTTTCCAAGGTAATAAACTGTAGGTGAGGAAGCCCCATGGCTGAAGAGTTTTCCATAGAAAGCAACAAAATTAGGAAGTTAGATTCTAAGTAGATTCCAAGTCATTTCTAGGACAACTATTTTCTATTTATTTTATGGGGATAAACTTTCAGCCATGTGAATTTCACCTATAGTCTAAAATGCTGTTGGTAGTCGCCTCATTGGAAAATAGATTGTGAATTTGTCAAGGGTGGCAGATGTTTCCCATATCTTTCCTTCCTTTCCCACCCCAATAAATAAAATAAAAAACATTTACAAAATTATTTTGTTTTGACATTTAAGTCTAGTGATAGTCCTGTCATTCCACTGGTTTTAAATGAGCAAAATAACTCATTGTTTTTTTTTAATACAAACTACTATACATACTTTTAAAATAAATAACTTTCATTTTTTCCCTCTCATTTACCTGTTTCACTGCCCCTTCAAGCAGAAATGGCAAAATATAGAAATACTTCACTTAAACTAATGCTCAGCTTCATGCTAGATATACAACAGTGTTCCAGGTCAAGCATAAACACAAAGTCTTTATCCCTTTTGTCTAGACATCCAGAAATGTTTTCCTCTAGGTCTCTGTGTGCAAAATTTAATCCTGATTTAGTCCTAATTACTGTTATGATTAATGTGGATGCAGGACTCAATAGAAATATGAGATTCTATATGCATCAAGGAAATGTCTTGAAGAAGTCACATCCATGCCATGAAGCAAACCATAATTAGGCAGCTTTTTTGCTGTGTGACTATATAATTTGGCAGCAAAAAAGTGGCACAGTTCTAGGAATCATATTTTTTTTATTATTTTATAGCTAGTAGTTCTGTTCTATTCTGCTTCCATTGTTATTTCCCTCAGTTCTGCTGCCTCACACATGTTTTTGCTTCAACTATATAGGTCAATACATGAAAAGTTTTCATTTTTTCAGGGCTGTCCAACATGATGTCAGATGGTGAATTCCTGAGAACCAGCTGTGGGTCACCCAACTATGCAGCACCAGAAGTAATCTCTGGAAGGTAGAAGATAAAGGCAATGATAGCGGGTTGAAAAGTTTGGGGAATGAGATGCATTCTAATAACTGAATAGTTTGTGTTATTAATTTAGGTAAAGAGGGTTACATGATTTCATTTTAAAGAAGAAACAACAGCACTAAAAAGAGGGTGGCAATACCACGAGTTGACCAGTAGGTAGAAATATTTTATTTCCATTGCCTTATAAAGACATGTCCCAACAGAGTCTTCTATACCACATTGCTAAGTATCAACAACCTGGAATGCCAAAGAATATATTAAGGATACTTGGAGAAGATGGAGGAGAGGTCAAAGAGGAAAGGTATAAACACAAAATGATCAAGAGAAGGAGGAGGAGGAGACCGTAATTTTCAGTCATCATTTTGAGTGAAGGCAATTATTTAGCACTGCTTGCCTCTTCTTTGCCAACCATCTAATATTGTATTAAGAAATAGATTGATGATATTTTTATTTTGTTCAGATTGTATGCTGGCCCAGAAGTTGATATCTGGAGCTGTGGTGTTATTCTTTATGCTCTCCTCTGTGGGACTCTTCCTTTTGATGATGAGCATGTCCCAACCCTGTTTAAAAAAATCCGTGGAGGCGTCTTCTACATTCCTGAATACCTCAATCGTTCAATAGCAACCCTGCTGATGCATATGCTGCAGGTTGACCCACTCAAACGAGCCACCATCAAGGACATACGGTAAGGTCTGTGCAAAAATTGTAGCATGCCACTGATTAACATTTCTCTAAAGTAAAAAAGAATTGCCAGAGGAATGTGTTTATTGTGTAATTTGATATTAGAAAGAGATTGGACAACCATTTCCAATCCAATTAAATATAGTCTGCAAATTATTACTTCAAATACATTGAATTTGGAATCTTTACAAACAGATATTAGGAAAAACTGAGATGAGATTTAAAATAATCTTAAATAATAAAGTAGCATGTAATGAAGGTACTTTTTAACAAAAGTAGCCAAATCCGTTTAGCTAAAAAGAACACATCATAATATGTATACAGTCCAGAGTTACATCATGATATAGCAATGCCACCACTCCATGGCTTGGATTTCTTTCCTCTGTTTCAGCCTCATTTCATGCTATCCAGGTGTGCCATATCCCAAAGCTCTGAAATCTTCATGCAATGTGTGGCTTGAACTATTGATCGTGCACATGTGTTCTGTTAGGGCATACAAGGGATCTCTTTAATATTAATGAACTTTAGCTCTGTCAAGTTAAAGTTCACCTTTACTTGAACTCAATATTTTCTTGCCAAAGTATATCCCACAATCATTTTTCATATCCAGAAGCTTATCAAGAACACATGAGTCAGTACTGAGGTATCTGGTTCTCTGGTCATTGAAATTGAAAACACTGTGCAAGCATACATGATTGTTATCATCATTAAATATTTTCTTTTCCGTGATTGGTTTGTTTTACAATTCTTACTTAATTTGATGGAAAAGAAATTGTTTTCATTTCTTTCTTTTTTTTTGCAAAGGATAACATTTCAGTGAAATCCTCAAGGAGATGCAGGGATCTTGCATTAAAGTAGTTATAAGATGATTAAATGTCATGTCTTTCTTTATTCAGTCATCTTTCCAGTATATTGCAGCATTTCTGGATTCTCATGTTAAATTCCAAGGGGAGACATTGGGCAGGAACTTTTTCAGATCAGAAAGTTTGGGCAGTGAGGAAGACTGCAAAGTGATTCAGAGATATGTAATACTAATAATAATGAAAAACAACAACACAGCAACAGCACATCTGCCCCTCACTGCAATAAAGTAATCTCGAAAAGACCACCCAATCCCTCCCCCCCAAACTGATCTGAAAACTTGCTTAATGTGGGGAAAAACATTTGGGAGACTGAAAGAAACTTCAACACATTAGTAACAAATGGCATTGTTATAATTGGAGTAACATTTTTATTTTCTTCTAGAGAACATGAATGGTTCAAACAAGATCTGCCCAGTTACTTGTTTCCAGAAGATCCATCATATGATGCCAATGTCATGGATGATGATGCCGTGAGGGAAGTTTGTGAGAAATTTGAATGCACTGAGCCAGAAGTGATGGCCAGCTTATACAGTGGAGATCCTCAAGACCAGCTTGTAGTAGCTTATCACCTGATCATTGATAATCGCAGAATCATGAATCAGGCCAGTGAGTTCTACCTCGCTTCCAGCCCACCCAGTGGTTCTTTTATGGATGACACTATGCATATCCCCCCAGGGGTGAAACCTCACCCAGAAAGGATGCCTCCTCTAGTTGCAGATAGTCCCAAAGCAAAATGCTCCTTGGACGCACTGAACACCACCAAGCCAAAGCCATTGACTGTAAAAAAAGCCAAGTGGCATTTAGGAATACGGAGTCAAAGCAAGCCTTATGATATCATGGCTGAAGTTTATCGGGCCATGAAACAGCTGGATTTTGAGTGGAAGGTAAGACTAGCAGTGCTGTGTGGCTCTTGAAGGCTCTTCAGATAAGTAATCCATGAATTTTATCTATTTATGTACGTATTAATTTAAAGTATATGAATGCTACCTTTGAATGTGTTCAGGGAGGCTTGTATCAGTTTAATTTAGTTTTACTGGTCATAATCAAATATCAGCTAAGGCTCGTATCCATAAACAGATTAAATAATAATATAATACATGTCATAAAACAAATAAAACTAGCAGAAACAGGAAGTTCAAAAAATATCTCTACCTGATGTTGAAAAGGTAGTTAAAATTGGCTCCAAAGGGAGCCATCCTTGGAAGAGTTAAGTATCACAACTGAGATGACCTTCTTCCACTTGCCATTGGTCCCATTTCTGGCACTTGGACAAATTCAGGCACTCCTTTGGGTATCTTGGTATCAGACTGTATTGGACTTTAAATGACTGAAACAGCAATCTGATAAATGTCTTATTGTAATTATTACTATACCAGTTTCACTTCATCATTTCTGCGACTATTAGAATAGTAAGGTAGCAAAGATAGTCTCCTGCAGACCAAAAGATTCCCCAGAAATTGTCTTCCCAACCACCAGGAAGAGGTTGAGATACTTGAAGGAAATCTCAGAAGGAAGTGTAGGAAGATCTTTGTATCACTAAGCCCCCTGTCCTGATCCAGGGATCCAAGGGTAGGGATGTTAGATAGGTTCTAGAGCTTCATATAGAAATCTCTTCCTGTTGAAGGAAATATTTAAACTTACCTGCACCATGAGAGAGACAGACTCAACCATCTCACTCCCCTCCTTTCTGATCTCTTGTCCTTAGGAAAAATAAAGGGAATCTCAACACTTCTGACATCAAAATGTTATGAAATTGACTGATCAATTATGTATGTATGTATGTATGTATGTATAATTGCCATTTCCTGATTGACTTCAGGTAGCTTACTACACAACAAAATATCAAAACATTAATTAAAAACAGTTATTTAAGGATAGAACAAATAAAATTCCAACATTAACATTTAAGATAGCCCAGCCTTTGTACTGAATGGTTAAATATACAGGTGGTCCTCATTTAACAACCACTCATTCAGTGACTGTTTGAACTTGTGACAGTGCTGAACAAGTGGTAGTTATGACCGGTCCTCAAAGTTCTGGTTGTCTCAGCACCCCTGTGGTTACATGATCGCGATCCAGGGGCTCAGCAACTGGCCTGGATTTCCAACTGTTGCAGCATTCTGCAATCACGTGATCATGATTTGTGACCTTACTGGCTTCGCACAAGCAAAGTCAATGGGGAAGCCAGTTGGAAATCGTGATCATGTGAGGTCCTCACTTAATGACGGTAACCAGGGACTGCCGGAACTGCTGTCACTAAGCAACGCAGTCATGTGATGTTGTACTTTACAACTGCATCACTTAGAGATGAAATTCCGGTCCCAATTACGATTGTTAACCAAGGACTACCTGTACCTTATTTGTAATTGCTGACCTGTGATAACTTTTTTTTAATTGTCTGAGCTAGAATAGGGAGACAATTTTCCTTGCACAAACATAGTCCTAACAGCAACTCTTCAGATTATCATTTCAGTATGCTCTTGCTCTTCTCAGTAATTTTGTTTTCTGAAAATTCCTAGGAAGAGAAGCCTGCTTCTTGTATGTGGTTTCAAAGAATCATGTAGACAGATAAAACCATGTCACTCTGTTGCATCTATTTTACCATCATCAGTATGGCTCTAAAAGCTGACTTCCTTTTTACCATAATTATTGATTTGCACAGTATTATACAGTATATACAAAATCGAGGCTACAATCCTACATGCTCGGAGAATCTCACTGAACTCATTGGGCTTAATTCTGGATGGATAGACATTTGATTGCATTTAAGACATAGTTATATCACATTCCTAATGTCATGCGATTATTAATAAAGTTGATTTTAATTTTGATTCGAAGGAATTTTGATTTTATTGGAGAATCTGATGTTCTCCCCCCTCCCGTACACACATATCCTCCACAGTGTTTTTTATTACATATGCTTTTAAGATACAACAAGAATATTTCTTGATACTGCACAATACTTTTCTTAAATAGATTTGACAGTCACACAGGAAATTGCAGAGGAGGTGGCTGATCCATTTGCTAGCAGTTGTGTTCCATTGCCTGATAAACACAGTGGAAAAGAATCCCTTTTCTATAGTTGTTATATATGTTCATTGAAAACCACTGATGAAGAATCAGGCTGTTTATACTGTATATGTTTAAATTTAAATATACAATGTAGCATATGGGAATAAAGCTTGAACATAACTTAAACTTGTTTAATTGATTAAAATCTCATGGACAGAGTGTCTGAATAGAGGCAGTATATTTCTTCATCTTTGTTCATCCTGACTTTCTCTCTACAGGATAGTATTTAACAGCATGCACAGACTGCCCCCAAGTAACATTTTACATTTTCGTGTGCAGTTTTACTTCCTAGAGAGCTATGTCTTAGAATTCATAATTTGTTCAGGAAAGACTTATTTAACTTTTTATTTATCTACTGTTTATCTACTATTTTATCAATTTATTTATTTATCTATTAAATTTGTAAGCTGTTCGACTCCCAACAACTTTTTACCTTTATATAGAATGGCAACATGCTAAAGATCATGTATGAACAAAACTGTAATTAAGCAAGCTGGTTGGAGGATTTCCACATAGGATGAATGGTTCATCTTTCCTGACTATCTTTCATTGTCCCTAATCCGTATTAGCAATGTTTAAGACAGAAAATGTTAGTGATAAGAAACAGAAAGAGGGTTCTGTTAAAGATACTTTTATAAAAAGCATCTCTAGGGAAATGTTATTTGATAGGTTTGCAGAATTGTAGAAAATCCTATTCATAGTTTTTTCTTAAACTGCAACACTGAGATTAAGCTAGTTAAGATGCATTTTTTAGTTTCCTGAAAGGTAAATCCCATTGAACTCAACTGGATTTATTACTGAGGAGAAATGTCTGGGGTTATAATTCTTGTTTTATGCAAAATTATTTTTTTGAAATATGAAATTAAAATTCTTTTTCCTATTCCATAATTCTATTTTTTCTCAAATGACAATTATGTGTTTTAGGTGGTGAATGCCTATCATCTTCGAGTGCGTAGAAAGAATCCAGTTACAGGAAATTATGTGAAAATGAGTTTGCAGCTGTATCAGGTTGACAATCGCAGCTATCTGTTGGACTTTAAAAGCATTGATGGTATGTAGGAAATACTGCAGAAAAACTCCCAAGCTTGAAGGAAGACTAAAAAAAAAACAACCCCAACCTGCACCATCCTCTCTTTTCCCCCCATCACACTTTATATCTACTTTATGATTCTGCTAGTCAGAACAATTGTTGTTTTAGCAACACTTCTTCAGTCCATTTGTCATCACTTAGTGTTAACTGTGACAGATTAATGACACATGTGGGTAAAAAGAGAGATTTCTGCTTCTCGCAAGATTCACAATAATCCCTCAGCAGGCAATATTCTTGCAAGCCTTTTCTGATCTTAGACTATTTCAGGACTCCTAATAGCATTTTCTCCACAAGTGATGAATTTCCTTCCCAACCCCAGATGATTTCATTACTGTTATTACTACTAGTTGAAACTATCTCGTTAGTGTCATTTTCAGTTCTACTATCTCCAAAAATTACCTCCATTATTTGCTTTTCTTTTTACTATTCCGTGACTTCCCCCTTTCTTGGGTGGGGTGTCTAAATCCTAGATGCTAAAAGGAATTAGAGAAACATATATGTATGCAGTTCATAAAACTATTTCATAAAAGGTTTACTCCCTGCTTACCCAGACTTCTAAAATGATGGTCAAAATTTGTGAAAATTCAGTTCAGTTTCAGTACTATTTATAAATTAAATCAAAGGGCTTAGTAAAACAGTCCTATGTAATTTATCTCAGTGTTTTTCAAACTTGGCAACTGGGCAACTCAGCATGCTGGCTGGAGAATTCTGGGAGTTAAAGTCCACACATCTTAAAGTTGCTAAATTTGAAAAAAACACATTGATTTATCTGATAGTGACTCTTTCTGAACTTAATACAACATACATATATGATTTTATTCTTGGGCACATTTTGTCTGAGACCAAGTTATAAGTAGTCTTGAAGATAACTACAAAGACATTTAAGATAAAGTGAAAGAAAAGGGTTTGGTAAAAATATAGAATAGGGAAGAGTCTTCTGTTTGAGCATAGAGCATACAAGTGGCATAATTATGGTGAAATGTTTGCAGAAAAGTATGATTTGAAAGAAATAAGTATAGCAATACAGTTAAAACCTTTTCTCATGTTACTTCTGTAGCATAGAGTTCCTTCCTCTTCTCCCAAGAAGGGCATCAGAAGTCTAGGACCTTATGGAGGATGGTGGGGAATTGCATGAGACTATTTACGCATGGCCTGAGATGTTTGACACTGCACAGGAGGCCACTTGTAGAAGCCACTTCCATTTCATGGAAATGGGGATGATGATGATGTGGTATAGAATAAGAGTATGAGCTTATCTCAGTCTATTCTTCAAACTACCGTTTCTTAGGTGAGTTGACCACCATCACAAAAGCTAAGCCAGGAGTAAAAGAGAAGAGGGGAACTTTAGCCTCCTGCCAGCTCGAGCAGTTGTTTTAAATCATTTCTCTGTACTTTTAAGATGATGTCGTGGAGCAAAGATCGGGTTCTTCTACACCTCAGCGCTCATGCTCAGCAGCTCGCTTGCACAGACCAAGACTAAGTTTTGACTCTGCCGCTGTTGATTGCCAGTCACTTCCTGGGTCCCTTCCTGGCTCTTTGACTGGGAGCATGTCCTCTGTGACACCACGCCTTGGGAGCCATACAATGGATTTCTTTGAAATGTGTGCCAGTCTCATTATGGCTCTTGCTCGCTGACAGGTATAATTCAGAAGCTTGATTTCAGTGGGTGAGCGTTGGCCTTGGGCAAATCTGTACTCAAGGCTGAGTTGGAAGCGTGTGTGGCAAAGAAAGCCTCATTTTGAGTGTAGAAATGTCAGGTTCTGCACCCAGGAAATATTTTGTATATTTAAGAGAGAAGACAAAAGTGTTCAATTTAGGTAAGCCTAACTGCAGATTTTGCTTTATTTTTGCTAGAAATTTGTTGGTGTTATTTCATAGGTATGGTAGAAATGATGGAGCAGTGGAGTTAGCACTCAGCAGAAGTGAGAACTGAGGGCCTCGGCCAACAGCTGGTAGCTATTGGATTTTACTAGCTGCCATGCAAAAGTCAGATGCTGCAGACAATGCAACAGCTGCCAAAAATCTGAAAATATCTACAGTTCAAGAATCCATAACACTCATGCCATGTTGAATGAACAGTGCAATAATATTCCTGAAAACTTGACCATCAAAAGGTTTTTTAAAAACTGACTTTAGAAAACAAAGGCAATAGAATCCTGGATAGAACTGATCTGGATTTATACTCATGGAAGAAAAGTTTGTATCTGCTGTTCTTCCACATATTAGAACATGCAAAATCACCCATAGGGTAGGACTGTTGCTCAATGAGAAGTGCAATTCTGAAATCTTTTTGATCTCAGACTTCAAATAATTATAATGTAGACCTAGGTATTTAAGTTTGGAAATATATGACGGCAAGCCTCTGGCCAAGCCTGATGTATTCTTTTCTTCTTTGGAAATGCTTTTGGAATGCTTAAAAGTCAACATTGCTTTTGTATCCTACTCATGGATCCATCTGAATGAATTAATGCAACCTACCTCCTAAAATAGTGTAGAACAGGATTCAAGACTTGCTGACTCAAAAGCAGTGAACTAGAAATGAACACCTGGAGCATCACAGGTTCTCCAAACCTGAGCTAGATAATCCATTATAAAGCAATTATTTTATATTCTTGTTACATTGTGGTGAAATTAAATAAAGCAACTACTTTTATTAGAGGTAGCAAGTGACAAATAATGCAAAAACATCTGTTACTTCAGTTATTAGGTAGTAACCTCTATCTGATCTGAACACATTTTGAATTGAATTTTTGCTGCTACTGAATTGTACAGCACACCTGTTTCTCACACCAGTGGAAAATTGTCCTCAGAGATGAATCAAACTAGATGACTCACTGTGTAAAATCCCCAAAACCTAGAAGCTGGCAACCATTCAAATTCAGAAATCACTTGATTACAATTCTTTTGAGAGGTAGATGGTAGTCGGGGTTACCAATTCTTTTTGCAAGCTATCCTGCAGCAACATTTCCCTGGTTTTAATTAAAGTTTTTTTTATTAAGGAGTCTCTGTTTTTGCTGAAGGAATTCTTTTTACTGCCGCCTTTCATAACCACTTTGTCCTTGCTGCTGTTCATTGTCCTAGGCTTCTTACACTCAGACCACCTACTATATCTCATAAGTACAATTTGCAGTCTGCGCTTAATCTTATTATTAATTCTCCCATCAATCATTCCCACCATGTTTTGCATCAAATGTATCAAAATGCTGAGTTTACACATTTAAATCAGCAATATTTATTAATCCCATGGCAGTAATAGATCAAAATTTCTGTAGCCACACTATAAAATTCATAATTGGGGGGAAAGGAAGGAAAAATTATGTTTTCCTTCTGGAGTGAGGTCCTTTGGTAATGTTCTCTTTCAGAAAAAAAGCTAATAAACTTATAAAGCAAGGTAATTATAGAGAACCCAAGCTTTTCAGAGAAGAGAGGATAGCAGAGAACATTAGCAGCACTCAAGAAAAAGGCTCAGGTGAAAAAGAAGAACATAGCACTCAAGACAAATTTTCCTTGCTTCAGAAGCAAATCATTTTTAAACACTTCTGCAGCTTTAATTGTCTGTTACAGTATTTGCTAGGTGCTAATTTCAGGCAGGTTTTAAGAAGAAAGGTTTCCTGATGCACACAGCATATTTATTTACTTGCACGTCTGTTCAGAAAATAAGTCCCACTGGCTTTGGATAGACTTAGGTCTAAGTAAGAACATATAGCATTGCTATCTAAAATATTTAATCTATCCTTTAAAAAAAAGGTGGGGGAGTCCATCTGCTTTGGTTTTCTGCTTTAAACATTGATGCAAGGGAGAGAGGAGCACCTCTGGAACTGCCATGGAAGCCAGTTGTGGAAGGGGATGGATTTGAGATCTTTCACAAAGGCTCACTCTCAGTCTTCTGCATAGTTAGCCTCTCTTAGGATTAGGAAGTATCAATTACTCTTGGTCTCTGTTCTCTTTTTAAGTAGATTCCTCTTTCTCAAAAAAGACATATTCCTTTAGAAGACTTATCAGAAACAAAAGCATTTCTTGAAGAATGTATGTTTGTCTTGGTCCTAAATCATATAATTGTGATGAATAAGAGCTGAAAAATAACAACGGACAAGGATGTTTCCCAGTTTACTCTTTGGTCAAATCATCAGTGTTTTTCAGTTACTGATGCACAGATTCGTTGTTTTTTATCTTCATTTCTGATTTGCCACTTCCCGATGGTTAGGGATCTTTCGACACATGCTAAAAATTTGATATGCATCTCAATATTTTCACATCTTACCTTCCATAACCTTTTACCTTCACCTTTCTATTACATTATGAATGTGTTGGCTTCCCCACAATAATTTATAGAGGCAGAAGTTGTGCAACAGGGAGCTGCACTAGACCCAGTTTGATGTTGCCAGTAACTAACACTGCAGTGAATATTTTTTCAGTGAGGCACTGTGCATAATCAAGAGTTTTGCAACACAGTCAGTCCAGAGTGGTCTTGTGTGATGATATGCTCCATCAAGAATGGCATAACATTGGTCCTGATGTGTTTCCTTACAATGATAAACAGAAACCTTGACATTCTGATGTGTGTCATTTTATTAATCATAAAAAACTCCATCTCTTTAAGCCCACACACAGCAGTTAAAGGTCACTGCATTATCTAAACTGGATAAGAATATCTGTCATAAGGGAGTCACATGTGACAATTGCATTTAGACTGTCTGCAGTACATTTTTAAAAGTAACATTAATGGGCATTTTCTACACAATCATCTGCTTTCCCTTTAATCATATAGATTATATTTCAACCTGGTACCCTTCATGTGTGTTGGGAGAGAAACTCCCAGAATTCCCAACCAGCAATTGTCTTGAAATTGCTCATTGTTCATTGAGTTCTGAATTTCAGTTCAGATATACTTTTTTGTCAGTAAGGCTGTGCCATTTTCCTCTTCAGTAGGAAACCAGCTAAATTTAGCTTTCTAGTACTGACAGAATCCTTTTAGAATACTATTTCATGAGAACTGGAATATAAATTTGACAACGCTGTTCTAGACCTTAGGGCTTTTGTGTACTTCTAAAGCTTAACTGCCTGTGACTTTGCTAGGGTATAGATAAAGCAGGAATAACTTACGTTTAGTGTTCCTTTTCTTCAGGCTATCTCAAGGCATCAGGTTTAGTAAATGTGTAGTAACAAACACTTTATTATTGGAAATGGTAATATTCTTTCAAGGTGAGGGTGAAACTACATTTTGTAAATGCTGCAGTACATTGTTTTAGAGTTGTTATTTATGTTTTGTTCGAATAATAGCTGTTTTTTGTTTAATTTTAAATTAGTTACTTGTAATACTTGTTAATACTTGTTAATACTTGATACTGTATGAATAAGTGCTAATTGAGGTTGAATTAAAAATAACATAGGCTCAAATCTAGGCAAGGAGGTATAAACTCCGATGGAGTCAAACCATTATTTTAGGAAAAACGGGGGAACAATTTTCGCCCGATAAGTTTGCATGAAAACTTTGCCAAATAATTGAAAAATTGAAAAAAGTTCTCAATTGTTGATATAGCAGTGGTTTATCTGAAAACAGCTCTTCAGATGCCCATGGGTTTTGTTTTGTTTTTCTGTTGTAGGATATTGATTTTGCAGGATTTCCTTCATATAATGGCGTTTCATACAATTAAAGGAGTGGCTGGTACAACCACTGTTTTGCTGAAATGGATGCGTGTAGCAGGAAAGGCTGTGTGCATAGACCTCTTGAGTATGGGGATGTATGGTTTTATACTTTCAGGAATGCTGTCTGATCGTGCTTCTTGCTCTTATAGAAGCCTACGTATGCAGCCTTTCCTGACATCAACACTTAATGCAGGGACAAAGAAACCCAAGGGATACTTAAGACTATTGTAGCTGGACTGCAAATCTGGCTGACTGCTAGATGGCAGGAAAAAGCATTTTCTTGTATCTCTGTTTGCAGCCCATATATAGTAGCCATAGGGACCATCTGCTTTCCCTTTAATCACATAGATTGTATTTCAACCTGGCACCCTTCATACATGTTGGGACAGAAACTCCCAGAATTCCCAAACAGCAAGGTCAAAGGCTATGCTAGCTGGAATTCTGAAAATTGCTGTCTCAACACATCTGGAGCAAGGTTGGGCTACAGTATGCATAATACTTGTACTAGTTGTATTTTTCTCAACATTTTGAAACTAAAAAAGCAGAGATACATGCCAAATAAGAAAAATAGCCTCTTTGCTTCCAATAAAAGTTGTAAATGGAGATGCAGAGAAGCTGGGAAAGAGAAGCTCTATTAATGAAAATGTTTGCATTATCACTACCAGTTTAAGCAGCATATACATTTTTTCTGCCCTGCTAAAAATTTCCACCATTTTGGATGGAAGCAGATGTTTTCAGAAAACATATTATTTTGCATTCATACTGCACTTTATCTCTTTTTTAATACACAAATATTAATTCAGTTTACCAGTGATGCTCATTAAATAAGTGTCAGTTAGGAATATCACATGTGAAAGATACATTTAACAAAATAATGATTGCAAGTCAATGATAGTATTACAGCCAAATGAAATTTATCCTTATATACTCATGTAGAGATATATTCACTAATAACTTCTCATTGTGAAGTTAGGATTAGAATTTGGATGTATCCAAATGTCAGGCATCTATTCAGTTGTCAAAAGGATTGCTAGAATTAAGATGAATTACTGTTTTGCCTTCTGAAAGCTTCAGCTATACAGCTAATGCAGTATTCAGTATAGATTCAGGTGGCTGTTACCGATCTATTTAAGTGAGGATTGATGTAATGTTGTTTTCCCCCAACAAACAGGATAAATGCATTTCTACACTGTTGAAGTGAAAATACAATTTTCAACCACTGGTTTATTGGCATGTTCCAGTTAGAAAATCACTAATTCCTCCCCCCACCATCCCTTAGAATCAATACAGAATGTGTAAAGACAGTGATAGTGGTGGGTCATATAACAAGCTTCCATTCACAGCTAATAGTGCAGTAATCCTTAGGTTTTAGATTTCAAATAAGGCTACTTAAACTGAATTTTAAGTAGGGTTAATTTCCTTGCAAGAAAAGTTTTCCAACAGCCATTACATTATCCTAATTTCTCCCACATAGTTCATATTGGATATGTAACATAATATTAAAATGCAGTTTAGTAAATCTTGGCAATTCATCTTCCATATTAGCACTGTTTTTGTTTGAAAATGTGAACTGAGCTTGATATCAAAAATTGTGCCTTCTTGTACCAGCAGCTGAAAATGATAGAATGTATCAAGTCTGCTCATTTTGCAGAAAAATCTACCACCTTTGTTACTGTAGGTACAGATTATTTTAAATACTTGAAGTGTATGGCCTCTGTTGCCACTTTACCTAATTGATGACATTTGTATGTGACAACACTTGTTACTATAATCATGCTGTACAACTGAAGGGTTACTCTTGATGAGTTATAGCTTAGTGGTAGAATGCATATTTTTGTATGCAGGACTTAGAAACACTCCATCTGAACCTCTGGAAAGTTATTGCCAATCAATTTAGAAACCTCATTGTAGCTAAGAATGAGCTTGATCATAGAAATATTCAGATCTTCAGAGAAGTGCTTTACTTGATCAGAGTCTCAGACTTTTGATCTCGTAGACTAGCTGTACCACTTCACTTCATAACAGAGCCTTCTGTGCAGCACATACACAGGAGTCCATATTTGAGAAGTGACCATCGAGGCATAAAAATTCATATTCTTGAGGCAAAGTGCCTCGTCAAGGAAGCCCATGGCTAATTCACCAGGCTTTCTATGTAGACCAGTGGCCTAACTGGATACAAGGCAACTTTTTGTATTTCTTTGCCTTAACAATAATGTAAATGCAATTAAGCTGCATTCATGGTTGGCTAAAATGTTAATATGGTTTGCTCCTCCTCTCCTCTGCCATTCCAGTCTACACTTTATCTTGACTATTTCAGGTATTAATGCCAATTCATCTATACTTTCAAATGGCTTTCCGTGCAGATGTAAAATTTAAAAATGTAACCTATAACCCGCTTGGATGCATATTTCAGCATATATAAGGAGCTCCTGACCAATAACAATTTACAGACATATTTCTTTGTTCCGGGGGCAGGGGAGCTATCTGCCTTTTGAACTTCAAGAAAACAGCTGTAGGATAGTTGAACTGCTTGTAGTGATAGTTAATGGAATAGGTTTTACTTACGATATAAACAAGCAGGACTACTTGACAAAGAAACCTAGACAGAAAAGTCATTATTTAGGTTTTTTTCAAAGGTACCTTGTCTCTCTAAAAGTGGAAGCTGCTTTTGAGAAAGGGAGAAAGAAACCTACCCCTAAACATTCCCTTATTTGTATCCAAGTGACTTTGGATCATCAAATACCAGGATCTCCAGTTGTTCATAAGCTCTGCTGTCACTGCAAACATTATTCTGTTTATGGAAACTCTAGGTGAAATGGGAAAGTGAGCCTTTAAAGGAATAGTAAATAGAAATGCTGCTTTTGGTATCTGTAATAGTATTTGTACACAGATTTAATGAACAAAAAGTTAGTCACAAGTTTAAGCATTCTAGTATCACCCTTTAAATTCTCCCTAAATGCTTTGAAACTACCCCTGAAACCGCCTTAAGTAATCTAAATTTATGTAATTTCTTTGAAAACTTTACGTTTGTCTATGCATTTTCCTAAGTAATTATCATAAAGCTTATAACACTTTTGAATGATTACCAGCCTTTCAATATTATTTCATTGCTAGTTTGAAGTGAAATCACTTTTTTTTTTCTGTATTAAGGTACACTTGTATGTATGTATGTATGTATCGTATATCTAGCACTATTTTTTCTTCAGTGTGCAAAATACTAGCTATAAGACTATACATTTGTGTCCCTGAACTGTAATTTTGGAAAACAGCACTATTAACACAGACTGTGAGAAGGCTAGATACTGTTATATTTGTAATTTACAAGTGTAGAATAAAACTACTCCATTAATACCAACTAATGAAATTTGGGTATGAGAAATAGACAAGTCTCCCAAGCTTAACAAGAATTGAACTTGAAATGATTTGACATAGTTTGTGAGCTAGCCTGGAGAGTCTATAAATTGTTCCCTGCTGTAATCAATCTTAATGGTCTTCAAAAATGATCCCCAGAATAATCTCCTTTTTATTTAACATGTAAAAGATTGATGCACAAATTGGGTCTGTATAGATGTTACTGAATGAAAGCTTCCTTACTGTTGGCCATGTGTCCTGGATGTATTGGAAGTTTGTAGTCCAACAATATGTGATGGACTATCCCAACGCACAAAAGACTTGGAGGGAATTTCTTCTTCTGGGATTTCACATTAGGACATTACTAATCTGTTCATAAGAACAGGGGGGGTGAAAGGGGCTGTTCCTTCTAGAAAGGTAAGTAAGGGGACTGAATATTATTAGGTAGGAGTTAGCAGAAGTGGCTTTTGAGAACAACAGCTGGTGGAATTAAGAGTGTTATTCTGCCTCGAATTTTGTTTGCAATGAAAAAACTCATAGGACTCACATACCTGCGCTCAGCAAACTGTGCCAATATCCCTACTCAGATAGAGTTTTTCACAAAATAACGTTCACTGATGCTTTCATGATGTACTGCTATTTATAGAGGAGGTAGCGCAGATCGTTTTGAACTGATCTCTGTTTGGCTTACATAAGTACTTGGAAGAAGGCAGTACAACCCCACTGTCTTTTCAGTTTTGTTATTTAAAATAAAAAGCAAGCATAACTTGAAGTTTCATGTACCTATCTCTATGCTGAAAAAAAGTTTATTGTATCTCATTGCATGTGATGATTACTTCATGGTTGACCTTTGCACTTTAATAAACAGATGATAATCTTGTAAACGCATGAATTACTCTTGTGGAATCTTCAGCCCTTTTATATTTAAAAAATCTACAAGTATAAATACTGTGGTTGGGTGGGAAAGGTTTTTTTTTTTTCCCTTCATTATCAGACTCTGCTCAAAGAGAAAATGTAAGTTTCCAGGAAATTGCCATTAAAAGCAAAAACACAGTACTATTCAAGAACTCAGAAAACAATTTTTCCAATTTTTATCCCCGTTTCTTTTTGCTAGCAATAGTTTGCTTCCAAGTTATTTTTGCTGACAAACTTCACTTCTGCCTACTTTGAGTAACATATTGGCACTTAATTCTTACCACCTGTTGGGAAGGTAATACAAATGCCCTATTGTGTTTTGCCTTAGCTGGGAATCTGCCTCCCCATGTTGTCCATTTGATAAATGCCCTAGATATGAGATTCATTACATTTACCCAATTGTAATATTCTTCACGGAAAAAGCACAACCATAATGCGATAGTTCACAACCTTGAAAAATAATTATATTTACAATGTCTGTGCTCATAATTTTTTTTTTTTTTTTTTTTGGCTAGCTTGTATTTGCTTTGCATTTTTTTCTCAGTGACTTGAAAAACGGCAGACTCAAATTGTCATTGTCATGTTATTCAGCTTTCCTTTGACTTATTTTAAAATAGGTAGGTCTCTCTTAGTGCTGATCATGGTCACATTTTTCAAATTTGCACTATTCAAAGTGATATTTCTATCGAGAATAAGGTAATTGGTTCCAGCTCGACAGAAATGCAATCCATTTTTTTGAACATTTTTTTAATGCTTATTAATGAAATACAACAGTAAAAGATTAAAAGAATAGTGGGTAATGCAGGAAGTGGTAGCAAGATTGTTACTTAGACCACCCTTCAGTTATTTTTTATGTGGTTTTAGTGTTTTTTATTGCTTTCTAATGGATAATAACCTGCCATGAGATCTTTAGATAGATCTCATAAATATTTTAAAATAAATAAGTGAACAAAGGACAGACTGGAGAATAAACCCATATCCAAAGTGTACCTACTATCCTATATTCTGCTGTAGCTTTTCAAAATGAGCCCCTTCTTTTTTGAGCTTTCCTTGAATAGACCCTTCCTTTTCTCCATTTTGCACACAATAAATAGCATTAAACCCCCAACAGCAGCTGTGCATGCACTAGACTCAATTCAGCATGCGCTAGCCTCACATTAACTGAATTTTGGCTTGCATTAAACACGACCTGATATCAATTTGTAATTTGCACCCAATTGAATATTGCACTCTTCGAACTTGTATTACAGGTAGTCCTTGTTTATGACCACATTTGGGACCGGCCACTTGGTTGTTAAGCGATGTAGTCGCTAAGTGAAACCATGACTCTGCTTATGATCTGACTTCAGCTTTCCTTTGCTTTACAGACCTGTAAAAATATGACCTGTACAGACATATTATACAGGACTATCTATATAATATGTCCAATTATGGCATAGTCAGAATCCAGAATGACGCTTTCCACTTAGTCACGAACATCATGAGAACTAGTTGAAAGGCACCAGCAGTAGGGCCAAAGTTTTCACAGTGTTATCTGACTGTGAGTTCTTATGGAAGAACATAAATCTACTCTCTGGCTATTATTCAAAGTTGCTCAGGCAGGTACCTATTCTCTTGATGGGACTTCCCCTTTGTATCTCCTGCCCGCTGCCTCCATCCTTTGACAGCAGATTTAAAGCAAACAGGAGGGTCTAGTAGAGAGGAAACTATCCTGACTGCAATATTCATTCCATTGGTGGATATTCACAGCTGGATATGATCCTGATTTTTTTTTTTTAATGAACGAAATGATAGAACCATTTCTATCTAGCAAATGATAGAACCATTCCAAATTATGTACTTAATTCTGCAAAGTTTTATATTAAACAGTATGTTTAGCGACAATGTGTTAACTGCCAATCCATACTTTATTTCTTCTGTTTACATCTAAAAGTAGTGTCTCAAATGCACCCCCCTTATTTCTCAGTATGCTAAGTCCACAAATTCTGACACTGATTAAATAGAGGATAGAGTATAAATGCCAAGTGTGATACTCCTAACATTAGGACAAAACACATACACAAAGTGTGTCAACAGTAGGTAACAGCAGTATTTTGCACACAAATAATAAGTATTGCTGCATATTATTCAAAGAACCAAGGTGACATTTACAATCAGGACTGTGTCACCATTTTAAAAAAAACTTTGGGAAACCATCTATTAATAAGGAGCTGTAACATGAAACAAAGCTTGAAAAAGTGCTATTACAGAGAATGACATTAAGTTTTTTGTATCACAGTGTGTACCTAGATTACTAAACTTTGGGCAGGATAGCATGAATATCAAGTTACTGAAAGAAAAAAAAAAAACACTGTCACTTTTATGATGATCATTCCAAAAAGTAGCTTCCTAAGAATCCAGACTTAGTGTGCCATCAACAACTCCATTTTTGTTTTCTCTGCCAAGCAAGAAAGGTTTTTACAGATGCTTATTTTCACTATATTCCTCATACAACATTCCTCTGTAACATGTGTTGGCCTTCAGATGTACAGCGCTAGTTCCTGGTATAAGAAAGAACACAAAGCTACATTTACTCCAGCATTACAAATGGTGTCATCCAAAAAAAAAACATCGCTTTGAATTGTTACGGGTTCTAATTTTAGCTAATCCTGTGTCTCAGAACTGAGTCATTTTAAGTCTTACCTAAAATTCAAGTGTTCTAATAGCACATACCCATCTAGGAAAGATAAAATAAAATACACTGTTACATGATGCATTTTGTTAAGAATTTCAGTCACATCATTACAGACAAACCAAGTCTACACCCAAAAAAACTACTCTTCAGGCGCAAAGAACTGTGTGTACAATCATACCCTACTTCTCTGTCACATCCAGAATGGCCAATCTGTAATAGTTAATCAGCTTTTCTGCCAACCCACCCTAAGTGTTTTTGTTTAGTTATTAAGCTCAACTCTTATATTTCGCTCTTTTTGAAAACTTACATTTGCCTTCAGAATTTCGACATATCAGTTGATTCCCTTCAGTGATGTCTATAACTTCAAGTTGTTCTCCAGGTGAGATCCTCAAGTCAAGGTTTCCTCTGGCAGGAGTGTTTGAGCAATGTGCGACTGCGGTATTAATTACCATGATTTCTTTAGTGTACTGTGGCAGAGTAAGGAGGGGAGGAGAATCAAGCTGCAGTCTACATAAACTTAATTGAGAGCAAGTCCTGAGCTTATTTCAGGTACATCATGGATAGGATATTTATTACTTATTTAAGATCTTTTTATATTGTATTTTAATTGATTTTATCTCTTCTGTAAGAGATGCCCAGAGTCGCTTTTTAATGAGATGGGCGATGACAAATTTGATATATAAATAAAAAAATTAATAGAATATACTGAGAATGCAAAACACTTTAAACATTTGCAGAGTTTGTTTTTAAATAAGCATACTTTTAACTGCCTTTAAAAGCTCCAGTTTCAAAAGTGATTTGACATACAGGTAGTTCTTGGGTTACAACCATTCGTTCAGTGACTGTTACAAGTTAGGATAGCACTGAAAGAATAGTAGTTATGACTGATCCTCAAAGTTCCAGCCACTACAGTGCCCTGTGGTCACATGATCAAAATTCGGGCACTTGGTGACCAGCCCGCATATACAACCAGTTGCAGCATCCCATGGTCAAGTTCTGCCCTGTGCAAACTGCCCCTGCTTCAACTGCCCCCACCAGCCTATCTCCCCCGCAATCTCTGCCTTTTTAAAAAAAATTAAATTTATCACTGCCCACCTTTTTGGCTGCCCTGTACTCCACTGCCTACCCCTGCTGCCTCCCACCACCCCCAGCTGATCTTTGCTGTCTTCTTCCTCCCTGCTGGCCCAGGAACAAGATGCTGGGAACGGGCACAGCCCTGGGATTCGTGTGGCAAGTGCTGCAGGGCAGCAGAGTCTCATCTACCAATGGGAGCTTGCTAAGCCTGGCCAGGGAGGAGGCAGGGTGGCGGTGCAGGGGAGGAGCCTTGTCTTCCATTGCTGGCAAAAGAAGTAATAGCTTCACAGTAGTAAGACTCTGAAGGTCAGCTAGGGGCAGCAGTGGCGGGAGGGGGGGCAGAAGTAGGCAGTGGAGTGCTGGGGAGGAGAGATGCAGGTGGGGGGAGTTAACTAGTTTGCCTAGAAGTAGGCAGTTTGCTCAGGGCAGGAGAAGCATGAGGTCCTCGCCCAACAACTGCAAGAAGAACTGCAGTCGCTAAGTGGTCATATGATGTTTTGCTTAATGACTGTTGCACTTAGTGATGGAAATTCCGGTCCCAATTAGGGTCATAACCCGAGCACTACCTGTACCGTACAGTATGAATGAGAA